GTAAGCATCTACACCGTAGTCTATACGTTAGGTGTACCAATAAAGTCTCCGTAATTAAAAAATACTTTTCTTCGAAAGCCTAATAACCGAAAAATGTCTCTTTATAATCTGTGGTCTTTTGCCTCTTATCAATAGGCAGCTTGTTGATGCTCTCGCGATAGGATTTGTGGGGTTTCACGGCGAAATACTCAACAAATCATTTTTTTTTTGTGAGTTGCTGACCTTTAAACATGATGATGGAAGGAAGACAGGTTTGGAGAATAATCTCTCGCGCAATCAGTAGAAGATCCTGGCTTACTTTCGCTGAAGATGGACGGACTATAATTTCTTCCACGACATCGTGTAAATCATTTTTAAGCGATGCCATCGATTTTTAAAGCTATTCCATCGCTAACTATATTCTCCCTTCAAGCCATTTTAAGCCATCTTCATAGTTTCTGCCGCAATTTTTTTCTTTATCAACTTTGATGTTGTACACGGAACGGCAACTTGTACACAACTGAAACTGGAAGCATACAAAAACGTTAATATCAATGTTATTTATGCCTGAAATTTCGGAGAAAATGAACGCGCCGGGGTGGTTATTTTTAATAAAGCAAAAAGTTTCAAGGCATTCTGAACCTCATATAAATAAATGGAAATAAATGAAAATATTCTCGAGTACTTCGATTGTAGTATTTAAGTGTAAGTCGCGGTTTAGTTTAACTTTTATTTGCAGTTTTTCTTTTTCTTCAATTTTATTTATGTATATATATATATATATATATATATATATATTTTTTTATTTTTTTTATTTTTTTATTTTTTATGTTTTTCGGTGTTGTTTCTGCTTTTAGTTATTTATTCTTTTTGTACATTTTTTATGGATTAGGCCAAGTGGTGATTAAACGCATTTTTCTTTAAAAGCCACATTGTGTGTCAGTTTAAATGTATATACGTTCATGAGCTTTATTCATAAACTTATTTAAAGGTGTGCGTTTGTTAGCTATTCTCGGAATGTTTTGTTTCTTATTTCTCTTGTTGGTTTTCTTTTTTAATCATATTGTATTGTTTTTATTTTGCTTTCGTTTGGTAACACATGCTATTACCTTGATTGTCTTTATAACTCATTTCGGTCTAAAGTTTCTCTTGCATGTTTAACTGCAAAGAAAAAAAAAAGGAGAAATAAATGAATTTATTTATTTAATTCCCCGTCACACACAACTTGTCAGTGCAACTGTTAAGGATATTAGGTCTTCGTTAACTCAGCTTTTAACTAAAGTAAAATTGTTGCTTTAATCTTAATTAACGAAAAAAAAAAAAAAAAATCAATTATCCTCTTAGAGGGAACATGACCACCATATCTGATCGTTACCTAAAAATTAAATATATATTATATATATGAGAATTGATCGAATATATCGTCTCCTACGCAACAATAATTAAGAAATCTACGTTCAGTCTGAGATTCAAAGATGATTAAACCATGTCCGTCTATCTGTCCGTCTTTTAGTTGAAATTCTCAGATCCTTTACGATTTGAGTAAACACACTCAAATCCGATTAAGACGACTTCAAAAATTGAAATAACGAACATCCAGAAAGTTAAAACTCAAATTTCATTCCTTAGGGCAGGTGAGATGTAGATCTCTCAAGCCTCAGGTCTTGGTCTTTTATCATTTTCAATGTATTTGAACAATTTCTTTAGTTCAATTGGGAGGAAGTGCATGACAATCTGTGGACAATTTAAGTATGTGGGTGTGTGTGGGTGTCATTATTGACAGGGAACTTGATTGTTTACACCACATTGACGGCATCTCGAGAGTTCGAGAGTAGCTCAAATCCTGATGATCTCACAGACATCTTATTGTATGGAAGTGTGTTTGTGTACGAGAGATGGTAGTGCTCGCAGAATTAGGTAGGTTGCCGAACAAAATTGCTAGGTTTGTGCTTTTAGCGTAATACATCACAACTCTGCCTCCGGTCAATATGGAAACCGACATTACAATCGTATATCGCGGCGTGCTAGTCACTTCTTAAAGTGTCCTTTCGACAATTTCCTGATTATATGTCTATAGCTTATAGGCTTTTGTGCAATAATCAAGAGTGTTACAATTATCGCAGTTTTTGACTCAAAGATTTAACTTTTTACGTCTTTCAAGCAATGCACAAATAATTATTCCCTTAATATGTAGTCGAGTCTCTGGGAAATTGTTGTTTGATCTAATTTTTTTTTTTTATCTATTGTTGACTTCGGACCTTGGTGCGCGTTTCCGGTTGTTAAATCTTCTAGGCACCAAATGTTATAGATTGGAGCTGGTAACGAAACGAATGGTGTTTTATATGAAACGAAACATGAATATGTTCAATTGTCATATGTATTTTGGCCACAGCGGGCTTTTTATATAATACACAATGGTAATAAGAAAAAATAAATAAATGAAAAAAAATACCAAATTTTCTTTTTGTTGACCTCCATTTTGAGCACCCTGCAACTCATACCAAAATGGACCAAACAAAAAATAGCAAAAGAATTTTTTTTTAATGCGAAATTTCACTTTTCCAGTGAGCATGAATTTGAATTAGTCATCGAACGAAAACGTAATGGATTTCTTTTTCCTCAGCTTAATATTAATGATTATATCACTCCCTGGTTGGTGGTAGTGGCAAAACACTTGTGTCAAGTCAACTTGGAATTATGATAATCTAAATAGTTATTAAAGCAGTCTGTGTTTACCGTTCGATTTTGTAACCAACCCTTCACTGTACAATTGGAACTAATAATAAAAAGTAGTTTTTCTTCTTCTCGAGATCTGAAGTCTAATAATCTATGCAACTTATCGGTTACATTAAAATGTGAGCGTTTGGACGGAAACTGTCAGCGGCAAATGACAGCATTGATCACAACACTGTATGCATTCAAAGTTAAATCATGTAATTGTCATGTCATGTGAGCAAAAAAATAAATAAATAAATAAATAAATAAAAGAATTTTGTGGTCTTTTTTCTCGCTCCCAAAATTCAGAAATAAAAAGAACAATAGCATTATTATTAAGAGAATTTGTTGATAATAATAACAATCACAAATATATAATAAAATAATAATAATAATAATAATAATAATAATAATAATAGATATGTACATGTGTGTATCTGGTTTACGTAATGTATTGTCTGACATTCCTTCACTCATTACTCTGCCTTGGCTGAGTTATAACTGCATATAGTTAACCCACGTATAACGTGTTATTTATCATCAGTAATTACTTATGTAATTTAATCGCACCGTTTAATGGCAGTTAACGGTTCTCTGTACCATTTTGTGTGAGTAGCAATTTTTTAAGTGCCTTTACTTAAACCGAGTGCTCTTGTGCAAAATACAAAAACAAAAAAAACAAAAAAAACACCAAACGTACTTACTACTCACTTACATGTTATAATCTAATGATTACGAACGCAAACAAAAAGATGTATGAGATTAAAATCATTATAAACAAACAATAATTAAAATATTTAACAAATTAGTTTTTATTTTTTTTTTTTTTTCTTTTACTTTTTCCTTTTTTTTCTTTTTTGCTTACAAAATAATGACTTTTTTGGTTTTTTGTTAAGTTTCTCTAAAACATTTTTTTTTTTTGCTTTAATTCTCTTCGATGACTTCATTGCTTGATTTCACTTTTTATTTATATGGATGAAATCTTCATAATGCCTAGGTTTTTTTTTTTTTTTTCTATCTTGCTTATATACCTCAATGTCAGTATAATTAAAATGTTATGATGCTTACTACGATCAAGAGATAAGTAAGTGCGTAATAATATTGTTCGGGTAAAACCGAATAATACGTGTGCCAAAAATTTCGTAAAATGTGCATATGCTCCTGATCGGTCGATCAGCCTGGGATATTGAATAACTGCAATCATGTCTGCCTGCCAGTGCTTTGCTAGCCTATTATAGAATGCCATCATTTATCAAGATTGGAAGGGATTACTTCCCCACCCATCGACACGCCCTACAACAAACAAACTGAAATAATTTTAGAAAAAAGTTGTAAACCTCGGTATGTCTTTTATTAAGAATTTTCAATTTGAAAACTCATCCATATGGGTTGTAGTTACATCAGTCTATCCAAGTTTAATGGCCACAAAAAAAATACGAAAAAAGCTCCTGACATTTTCTCAATCGAAAAATTTAAAAAAAAGACTTTTCTTATAATTTCAATGCGCTTTAATTGATCACGTCGCGAAGCGTAACTCCCTCCGCCAAAGGCGTGATCGAAACCGATTCATTTCCTATTGATCAACTCTGGACGCTTTATCGCAATTGTACGCGTTAGTCGCATTAGTTGATAAGAAATGTTAAAGAATGGGATCAATCGTCCGGTGCAGCTCACAGTGCACAATGCCCTTTCAGTTTCGTCAAATGCACCGCATTAGGCTTTGGTATCCTTTGTACAGCAGCATATCTCGTTCAGTATTTAATCTCTTCAAAAATGATTCAATCTCCGTTTGCTTCAGTTGGGATGATGGTACCGGTTTATCTCAACTCTTTAAAGAGTACCATCGATTTAATCGACAATTATTCGACCAAAGTGGCGGGGCACGTCATAAACAATGAAATTAGCAGAGCGGATTTTTATTCAGTAATTTTATTTATCACAGCGTCATCGACTCAATTGAAATGATATTTTAAAATGTAGCGAACGCTTAATAAACGTCACAGCTTTTACGGTACAGAGTTAATAGGGTTGCCAAAGTTCCAAGGTAACGCAGCTTCAAAGGCATTGACTAGAGCAAGTGCCATGAATTTTTTTCCATTCATTCAATTTCATTCAAATGATACGGTATATTGTATTATATAATAAAGAGCATATCAATCTAAAAATTATTATAAATATTTAATAGAGCTACGTAAACATTTTCTACGCAGGCGATGCTGATCGATATAATTGATAACTTGTTGTAAAATGTGTGCGTGTGTCTATGCTAAATTAATTAATTTTTTTTTTTTACTTTCTATTTATAGATACGTCTTATGAAAAAGCCTGCAGACGTGGTTCAGCGCCAGCTACACCAATACTGGGTCAAAAACAAAGTCAACAAGAAAGCAATACAACATCAAGGTTTACGAATTTCTTTTCAAAAAGGTAAAGAAAATGTACGAATTTTTATACATTTTACACCCTACACCATTTGCAGCTAATACAGGATGATGTCAAGTTCTTGCGTGCGTATGCGATATATATAAGAACTTGAGATAGACTCACATGCGATATATATAAGAACTTGAGATAGACTCACATTTTGCTAATAAAATATTAAACAGACCAAGGGACAGATGTTAATTAATTTAGAAAATCAAGCCTTCACATCTACTATACGTAATGTCTGTCTATGCATTTAAGAATCATTTTCAATTCAAGTCATTCTAGATGACAAGAAGATTTAATCTACTACCGCGTCATAAGTGGTTTAAAGTCTAATGACTCATTGCAATGCATTAAAGATTATAGCTAAAGACTAGTAGACGGCAAGCAGTTTTTTTTTTAAATACAAATTCAGTATAATTGTAAACTTATCTCGTCAACATATTGTCTTATGCTGAATGCATTGAAAATAGAATCCCAAAGAAGAAAAGAGTTTGCACAGATTACAAATCAAATCCCGATTGCTACTTTAAACTTTCTTTACCTGCGTCTACTTTGAACGATCAGTTTTTATGCACAAGCGTTTACTTTCCGCCCATTCCAATATTTCTTTGCCAGAAATCATAAAGTTAACGGCAGTTATGCTGCCTGCTCAAGTTAAATACTTTTCATTTAAACGTATAACTGTTTTAATTAACTATCGTTCAACCAACTTGGGTTACAGTCAGAAAGAAGACATGGGGAGGAGAATATATATCAAGAGGAAGGTATCGCATCATATTGATAGTGAAGGCAGTAACCTAAAACTTGGGATAAACATTGGATCAACAGTGTTGAGAGTCGAATGTTAAAAACGACTGCGATCTGTCCACATACCAGCATACTCAACAGATAGGAAACTGAAAAAATCTCGAGAAAATATTCGATTGGCGGGACATCTTTCACGTTTCATTTAACTAATACGCCCACAATGATTGCCCATAGTAATTGTTGCAAGTGTGCCCGCTTCCATGTATATTGAACAACTTTGCTGTCTCTTTTCTCCCCGAAGAAGAGGATCGAATTTATACCTTTCAGCAGAAATAGCTATGCGCAAAACATTGGTAGTTCGAGCGTCAACGAAGCAACGACACAGTCTGTTGCCGTGTCTATAGGATTTTTCCTCAAGGATGCCCAATAAATACCATATTCCTTTAGCTGACTTTACGTTATGGTCCACCGTCTAAATATTAAGTTCTTCTACTGTCCAATTGGCATTGATTAACACGTCTTGGCTTTCCCGCTCGCTCTATTATTACCAGTGTTACGGCGGAATGAACTGCGCCGAAGCATTCACATTTCTAATAAGGTATCGCGTTGCTGTTTGTGCCTCAATTTTGTCCGCTAAGTAGTTATTACATTGACGAAACGCTTTATCGCTGAACATAACTTACTGATGAAAATTTGCATCCTCTTCGAGAAATTTCATTCGCAAGATGCGTCATGCGTGAGTTGATCAGGGATCGGTCCAACTCGGCCATTGTAAAATAGAAAATACATATTATTTTTATTACTATTGTCATATTTATTTTTATTCCTTCTAATAGTTTTTATCTGGATTATCTATCTGCATAGGAATGTTTAACTGGCATAATCAATCACTAGTTGATGTTACACGCTGTGCGTCTCAGCTGAGGTCATTACTATTAGGTCAGCCTTATGCAAACAATTCGTGATCCTTCTGATTACATGAGCGTAGAAGAATTTAATGGGTAAGAGAGTCAAGGAACTGGCACCAAGTGTCGGCAACGGCACTTCAGCTTCTGTCCTCGTACCAGGAAAATAAAAATTAGAGTAATAGAAAGTGAGAGAGAGAAAAAGAGAGAGAAGTAGAACCGATCTTCTTCCATTTCTATTGTTAGGGGACAATCAAGATCATAAAACAGTATATAGACCACAGATAAAAGATAATATAGTAACATCTCTTATTTGCCAACTGGCAAGGCACATTAAACCCTGAATCCTTGCTGGTGCCGCCCGCATGCAGACAAATTGTAGCGATAGCATGTGGGAAAGATAAAGAAAGAGAGATGAAGAGATACAATCTCTTCAGAGTGCATAGCGATTGTCTCTAACATGTTCATAGTTTCGCACTGTTGTTGCGAACACGAACATTGCCTTGTATGTAGCGATCAATGTGATGCGATTCATAAACGCAGAATAAGTCCTTGTCCCTTGTCTGGCCCAGGCTGGGAGTACCCTACTCGTATTATGTCGATGCTTTTGTTAAAGAACATTCAAGTGTTCGTATAGCTATGCAGCACTCTTGCTACTCCACGATCATATATCATATTTTCCCTATTAGGGTGCTAGCATCTCTTGATTGGCGCCAGGGTGATAATCACTAGAGTTTTTGATCTTTTGTAAGCTAATTCAATACCCATCTCACTAATCGCTTACGCATTTTTGTGGTGTCTTCAGAATCTATAAGAAGTCAACACCATCCACTGCTTTCTATTCTTTTTTTTTGCTGACAAAAAAAAATTTGCCAAAAACAAAAGCATACAGACAGTCCACGATCCTTTGGTTTTCTAAGAAATTTGTGGCACAAAGTAGAAAAAGAAGAAGAAGAATAAAAAATAAATAAATTTCATGATATTATTGCCAAAAGTCAACTTAACTCGTAAATAAGATACATATACGTGCGCGTCCGTCTGTGTGTTCGCCTTAATATATTATTATGAACGGGGAACGTTTACATACAAAACGCAAACAAAATATGTGTTGACTTGAAAAAAGCAAAAAAAAAAAAAGAACCTTTCAATATATATGCCACCACGAACAGTGATTGCTTGGTTTGCAGATATTTTTTTGAGACTGGTTGCCTGGTTGGCTGGTTGGTTGACTGCCTGGCATATTCACACACAATGTTCATGCACTTGTGCCACTCAACTCAAGTCAAATAGTTTGCTGTTAAACATAGACTAGAATTTGCACCAATTTATGAATGCAGCTGAGTGCCGGCTGCTGACTGCTGACTGCTGACTATTGCCGTATCTACCGACTCTATGTAAATGCTACTAATACGTGGCCAGGCTATGAGGCAAAGCTCAAATATAAAGTAACCGACCAAATGAATCGGCAAACCAACTAACTCGCTTTTTTAACAGCGTTCTTCTGTGATATTTACAAAAACTTAACATCTCTGAGTAAAAATGGTAGGCGCTGCCATCATTGTCGTCATATGGTGGTTAACTTGATTTGTTGGTTCACTAACTGACTGACTGGCTTTAAACCATAAGAAAACAAAACCGAAGAGAGAAAAAAAAAAAAAAAAAAAAACGGAAAAATTTTACAAAACATGACTCGAAGCAAATGAAATGAAAAACTCGCAAGAATTCGTTTAGCAGTTGCACACAGCTTTCACGCTGTTAACCTAAGCAAATAGAGTCGAACACATTAAATAATAATAAAAATCACTACTGCTAAGCAAAGAAAATCTCGCAAAAAAAAAAAAAAAAAGAAGAAAAGTAGTGACTCCGTACCGCAACTAACAAGTGTTGCACACATTCCAGGATGTTTTATCAATAGGCCAACAAACGCTCTTTGCCTGAGATTTGCTGACTTCTTTTTTTTATGCTTTTTTCCTTTTTTTCGTTGCATTTTTTTGCTTGTATTAGCTAAAGTTTTTCATTTTTCATTTTTATACCCCATCACCAGAAGATTAGGGGTATATTCGGTTTGTTAAAACGCTTGTAACGCCCACAACGAAGGTTAAGATACCTCACAAAGTATATATATATTCTTGTCAAGTGTCAAATTCTAAATTGATTTAAGCATATCTGTCTGTCCGTCTGTCTAATGCCTGTTGTAAATATACTTCTGATTGCAAAAATAAAACTATCGACTTCAAATTAGTACACAAATCGTTGTCGAGAATGGGCCAAATTGGTGGAGGAACACACCCACAGCGTCATGTTAACTGAGAACTCATAACTTATAACTCGTAAATATTAAACAAATAAATGCCCAAAAATTTGAATGCGAAGTCCACGGGCAATACTGTAACTAAAATAGAAAAATTGACCACGCCTACTCAATATAATAGACTATCAAAATTTAATTTTTTTTTTTTTTGGAATACCTTTATAAAACGCAGAGACAAGCGTCAAAAATCACATAAACTCTATATATTCTTGGCAAGTTTCAAGTCTGGAATTCATCTACGCCTGTCCATCCGTCTGTCCGCGCAACTGTAGTGTAGTATTTGCGGTAAACATTCTCGCGTAAGCGAAAAGTAAGAAATCGCCTGCAAATTTATAAAAGAATTTGAAAGCGACTTGAACTTTTCCAAGCCCACAACTCCTACACGCGTGTCCAACAGAAACTTTTATTTTGAAGGTAGAAAAAATCAGCCGCACTCACTCTACATTATGGAGCATGAAAATTTAGTTCTCTTACTTTTTTTCCTCTACTCTAGGATAAGAGCGATCGGTATAAAAGATTCGGTCACGACCGAATATAATTCCCTCACTTGTTTAATTTTTTTTTTTTTTCTTTTTTTAATTTTCTTATTCAGGTTTTTTATTAAATTTTTGATAAACTGCCATTTAATCTTCAGCTTCCGTATAAATTTGTTGGCTTAATGCCCACTATAGAGTATACGCAACTCACTGACTGTCGGTCTAATGCTTTAAATTTAATTTTAATGATATTGTAAAACATATCAACAAAAAAAAAAAAAAAAAAAAAAATTGCATAAGGAAAACTAAACATATTTTAAAGTTTACTTTAAAATTAAAATCTTTGTAAATTTTATCAAATTTCCTCATTGGTTACATAAATTATGTAACAATGCAGCGAAAAGTACTTTGTAATAATTTTTATATGACCGGCTATAGTACTTTTATCGTGTTTATGCGTAAATTTCAAAAGCAAACAAGAACTGATTAGGATAAGAAATTTACTCATCCAAAAATTCCATGTAATGATTTTCTGTCGTCTCATCATGAATTTCGTCAATGTGTTTTAGTGTAAGTTTTGGTCAAATAAGTTCCTGAAACGATTTTAAGGAATGCCTAAGATATCGAACTTCTTGTTCGTCAAATGCTTGAATGCAACGCTTGAAGAAAGTAAAAGGCCCGGGATCAAATGCACCGAAATCACAAAGCCAAGGCATAATTACATTTAAGAGCTTACCAGTGAAACCTTAGGTTCAGGTTGCTTTGCATGCTTTATGATTATTATGATAATGGGCAGTGCACACCAATTACCTTGTCAAGTCATTCGATTTTTCGTCCTTTCTTTTTTTTTTTTTTTTTTTTTTTCTTAAGATCATTCAAAAGTTCTAGCCATTCAAAGGAAACGCTTGCCGACTATTTAAGCAATCTTCTATATAGCTATACGACATTGGTCTTTCTTAGACTGCGGTAAAAATTCGAGAGGTTAAACACAAGCAGATGTTCGATCCTTTAAATTATTTCATTTCTGTTTGTACGGCACCGAATATATCAAGCTTCTTCAATATCCATAGCTTATGCAAACCTTACGAAACTTGGTTGATTAATAATTATTAGATATTTTACCAAGCCTTCGTAATTTTCAAACATCTATTGAAATCGTATGATCGACCAAAGCGAAGAACATCGTGGAGATAAAAAGCTCTGCAATTAAATATTGCAAACATCTTGCATCACAAACTCTCTCGCATAGAATTCTTCTCCGAATACTATCTGGGCTTGTTTAGCACTAATTGCACAATCTTCTTATGTACCCAAATCTTTGAGAAGTTCGCAAGGGAACAATCCGTACACTTTATAAGCATCGTTCTGAGTGTTCTAAAATCTCACCTATTCTGGAACTATTCCTTTTCTTGCTGCAAATAATCAGAGGAAGCATTATTCTGAGAGTAACAAGGAAATCATTTCCAGCAGTGACCTGAGCTCGCCCCAAAATATACTTTCTTCTTTCCTCTACTAGCAGAGGCGACACTCCTCTTATCCAAAACCGTACTATTCTAAATCCATCATGGACAAGCGTATGCTCGAAATTATCTATGAACTTCCAACTTTCTTCATGGATTTTTTTCAAGCATACAAAGGCAGATCCAAAAAACACCATTTTCTGCTCTCATCAATGTATCTCTTAAAGTCGATGAATGAATATTTTAATCAACATTTTCCTAGAGAATGAAAGAAAAAAAAAATGAAAGCCTTTTTCCAGCTTGTTACTTGCAAAAGTACGTGAAACTCAAATCAGTCGTAAACTAAGACAGCGGAGAAACAGTAGAGAGAAAGTGGTTAATGGCAATAAGGCAAAAATTACAAAAAAAAGGCTTCAAATTAACATAGGTTTGAAGCCATGAAAAGACGTTTACATTGTTTCAACTTTCTCGCTAAAATACTTTGAAGGAATTAAAATTTGATCTGTCCACTAAAAATTCTACCTAATTGTATTAAATCGCAATTACTAGAGACATAGGTTAAGAAATTTCGAATTAATTAATGAAAAGATCGTCGCCCCAACCTGGCGGAATTGTTTTTATGTATTTTAAAAATTTTGGTAACAAGGAGATCCAACATTTTTTTGAGACTACCTACATAGTTATAACTTGACGGGTTTATATATAAGTTTTGATTATAAAATCTCCTTATGCGCCTTTGAAAATTATTTTAAATTTTTTTTCTTTCTTCTTAGGTCCAATCCTTTAAAACGTACAAAATCAGTAACCAAATTGGAACGTACCAAAAGAGGATCGGGTGGCTTGCGCGGCTCACGATCCCATGAAAGTTTACTCTCAAGTCATGCTGTAATGTCCACAATTGGTAAGCCATTCTTTTCAGATTGTTTTGGGTTAAATTTTGAAAATTTGAAATTTTAAGATCTCTCTTGCACCGGTGCTGTTGGTGTAGCTCCAGTGCATCAATCAGTTTTGGGTCGGCGTTATTGTTTTCAAGTGCGAGGTGGTCCTCGCGGGGAACGTTACTATTCATGTGGCTCTCGTCAAGAACGCGATTTGTGGATTTATTCTTTGCGGAAATCCATAGCACCTAATGCCGAGCATACACGTCGCACCGATAATTCTCTTAAGATATGGATATACGAGGCCAAAAATTTACCACCAAAGAAAAAGTATTTCTGTGAACTGCATCTAGATAAAACTCTATATGGGCGAACCAGCGTTAAATTGCAAACCGATTTATTATTCTGGGGTGAATATTTCGATTTTCCCGACATACCTGAAATTAATGTGATTACAGTGAATGTATTTCGAGAGGTTGAAAAGAAGAAAAAGCGTGATAAGCACATGTTCGTGGGTTCAGTGAAAATACCCATACATGAGGTTACCACGCGTTTATTTTCCGAAGATTGGTATCAGATACTCAGTGAGAAGAACGACAGTCTTAATCGCAACGGCAAGGATGTTATACCCACTTTGCGTATTAAGTGTCGCTTCCAGAGTATCGATATCTTACCTATACAGGTCTATGCCGATTTCTTGGCCTACCTTAAAGACAATTATAAGAAGGTATGCGAGACTTTGGAACCTGTGATCGGAGTAAAAGCCAAAGAGGATATCGGTCAATCGTTAGTGTTGCTAATGCATGCCCAAGGTTTGGCGGGAGCTTTTCTAACCGATGTAGTAGCATTGGACTTGCTAAGAGTAGGCGATCAACGTCTTACATTTCGCGGAAACTCTTTGGCTACAAAAAGTATGGAAGCTTTTCTGAAGTTGACCGGCGAACAGTATTTGCAAGATACGCTGGCAGCACCCATTAATGAAATTATACAATCGGATCGCGATTGCGAAGTGGACCCAACCAAAGCTAACGGATCGTTGCAGAGACAACAAGCCTCTTTAAGGGCTGCAGTGCGTAACGCTTGGCAATGTATTTATGAATCTCACAAACATTTTCCGGCCCAACTACGAAATTGCTTCGCTACGTTTCGAGAAAGATTAGAACAATTAGGACGTCAGGATATGGCCGATAATCTAATATCAGCCTCGATCTTTCTACGATTTCTCTGTCCAGCTATTCTCTCGCCCAGTCTTTTTAATATAACGAATGGTAAGTTGATGCTACATAAGAAAAGAGTTAGTGAAGTTCTTATATTTTTATTTTACTTTTTTAGAGTTACCTTCTACAAGGGCTACACGAAATTTGACTCTGGTGGCCAAAACTTTACAAACTTTGGCAAATTTTACCCGTTTTCAGGGCAAAGAGAACTTCATGGAATTTCTTAACGACTTTCTGGAACAAGAGGCTCCTCGCATGAAGGAATTCCTACAACATATTTCTACAAGACCTGAACATCATAGCCCAGAATCCATTTTGGACTGGGCAGGCTATATAGATCAAGGCAAACAATTATCTATATTGCATTTACTGCTCAGTGAAAGCATTATCAAATTGCCTGACTCACGTCAACATGATTTAGATCCTTTGCAACATATTTTGGATGAGATAAGTAAAGCCAAAGAGAGCAATAGCTATATCCAGCAGCTTGCACCACCTCATTTGTTAATGTCTACCTCGGCGACAAGTGAGAATCAAGAAAATCGCAATCCAGAAGAGATGATGATTTCTTCGACTACCTCGACAACGTCGGCCGCGGGCATTGTTCAGCAAGCTCAGCTGGCTCAGCCCCAGCATGCTGTCATAACCAAACCGATAGCAACGGAACGCGGAATAATGCGTGGTGTACTAACACCCAGTTCGCTGGAAAAGAACATTTTCCGTTATAACGATCCAACTGTAAACGGTCTACTTCAACAGCAACAACAGCAACAGCAGCTACAAGGTTCAGTCAATAATAATATGGAAAAAAGACAATCGAATTCTCAAAATTCCTTGGCGGCTTTACCCGGTTACGCAGGTGGACTTCAACACGCGCAATCACAAACTTCCATAGCCAGTTCTTCGCAATTGTTAATGAGTGCAGCCAGTATTCAACATCATTGTCCACCCGCTCCCAATGCTAGTGCCAATAATACCATGGAACGTCATTACTACACTGGAGGGTCCTCGAATGGTAATCTCTCTACCAACGCTAGCTCTGTAAGTCACAATGTCAATGACAGCGAGTGTTCTGGCAGCGGCCAATTGAGAGCCACCACCTTGCCCCGAGGCAATAACAATAATAATAATTATGACGAAATGAGTGGGGACTTCATACAAATATCTGGCTTAGATACTAACAGTGCATTTGTAAAGAAGTCTCCTACGCCCCTAATGAAAAACAATCATTCTTCAAACGCGGTGGCGGTGAGCACAACTGTCAGTATGCTAAATTCCACTCAACAGCAAAGACAGCAGCAGCAACAACAACATAAACTTTTAAATAATTCTTCATTGAGCCTAACGCTAAGCGAAAGAACACCGAGCAAATTAAATTTGGGCATACCTGATCACTCAAGCTCTCCTCTGACCCATAAAATGACAACTAGCAATGCATTGCCACCACCCTATCAAAGACCTCGAGATACTAATCCTAATTCGAATATGCCCATGAATCTAGAAGATTTGGATGATCTGTTCAAATACGCCGAGGAACATGCGGTTGTGGGTGAGGTAAATCCACCATCGATTGCTAGCAATCGTAACTCCACCAAAGAGCAATTATCAGCCAAAAGTTCACATTGCAGTAGTTCGGGATATCAAAGTATTAATACACAAGGCCATAACTCTTCTTCCGTGCAAACTAATAGCCCTGTAGAGAATCAACAGAAGCTAAGTGCAGCCAATGCGCCGCTGGCATTTAAAAATCCCAGCTATCAGTTACAGAGTGCTCAGAGTCATCATCATTATCATCATCATAATCACGTGCACCATCAGAATTCTCAACAACGTTCAAATTTTGGTGTAGGATTTACGGCACATCAACAACTATTTGGTGGAAACAATCATCAACGTCAGAAATCTTCGGGTAGTATAGGTATGGTGGCTGCACGGGCAGCTTTATTGAATAGTGGCGGTGCACCGTTAACACCTTCGTCCAGTGAGGAGCGCTTATCTACCGATAATAATTATCATGTTTACGCGCCTGTACAAAAACTACTCAAATCTCCTTCACATGGCCACTTAGATGCTCAGCGCACTTTAAGCGCTGGTAGTAGTTCATCAGGTTCTAGTTCACATGTAGGTGGCGGTGGTGGTGGCGGTGGTGGTGGCGGTGGTGGTGGAGTACTTAATCTTCCTCCATCCCGTAACATGCCCCGGACAAATCCTCAGTTCAAAAGAGAAGATATTTATGCTCCCTTAAACAACGGCAGCAATTATTTGACATCATCCTCGAATTCCTCGGGCGGCAGCAACGGTCTACAGGTTGGAACTACCGTAGCTATTTATAATAATCCCAATATAGGCGGTGCGGGACGTAATAACAATCATAACCATCATCAATATCAAAATAACTCGGGAGTGCTGATGTTGGCTGGCTCTAACGGTCGCTATCAAAGACGTTTAAGTTTAGATTCAGCTCGTACACTGTCGGACAGCTCAACCGACACGGAAGGTAAGATAAAGCAATCTTTTATAGTAATTATCCATCTGTGAATATCAAATGCGTTTTCCTCATTTCTTTAGGCCATGGTCCAACCCATGAAAGCAATAATAAACGACGTCGACCACCCCGTAATGCTTCCACAGGTTTATCGATGGCTACGCAGCTTAATCAAACATCGCTAAATAGCTATGATCAAAATGGCGAGATACAGTTGCTGCAAGAGACTTTAGACACTTTGCGACACACTTTAGATCGCGATGAGGCCGAGTTGCGTGACTCCTCTGATGAGTTGTTTGCTTTGCAACGTTGCAATGGTTACGGACCAGTCAGCAATGGCTTGAGTAGTAATAATCTTAGCTTACAATCGGAGTCCACCATGAGGAGCATTATCGATAGGTAAATATTTGAATACTTCGATGATAAATATATTTCTGAAAAATACTTCCTCTGAAACAAAAATACTGAAATAGTCCTTGACATTGGCTCGGATATGGAAAGATAAATACCATAATGAACAATTCTATTTGCGACATTGTAAAATGTACATTGGTATCTTAGTGTAATAATATCGAAGTGGCTAAATGATGTCCGTACCTTTGTCTGCGACTCCGTTTTTCTCATTCTTTTTCAAATTTTAACTACATTTTACGTACATATATTGTATTATAATTAATAAAAATATGCTTCAATTTTCAAATATTTTGGAGGTCTGTTTTCAGACGGCTACTGTCCACTCAAACAAACTATTATACAAATCTAAATAGAGAATAAATTTAAGCAAGAAAACCTATCACCGCATATATGCGAATACGCAAATTGTGTGATTGTACAGTGAAGGGTCGCTATTGCTCATAGGATCGATTGTAAAGTTGTCTGACTGAAAAACAAATAATATGTTTAGTATTTTGATGCACTTACACAATCATAAGATATCTTCGGATATTCAAAGTGAAGACGCAGTCTCTTTCATGCAGTCTTCTAATATCCATAATAAATAAATTGCCAGACAATTTGCGGATCGATAACTGTATTGAGCAAGGCGTACATGCGAGAGAAGTTACTAACTTAATAAACTTGTATAGACATCATTTATCGAGAAAACAATAATGTTATGCCAAATAGTAGGCAACATAAAGTTTCTTTTTTAAATTTCTCCTTAACTTATACTGTATATTCGATAAGTTTTTCAACTACGAAGTTATAAGAAAATCAATTTTACTTGTTTAAACAATGCTAAACAAAATAAGAAGAAGCATGTTTACAGTTTCCTCTTTAATTTATATAACACCAACTTTTTGGCAATTTTTCATTTACAGTTTTAAAGTTGATCTTGAGTTTTTAATCTGTATTAAGTAATAAGATCGTCATAGGTCGTCCAATCTATTTACCTACCTATTTTGCCCTCGACTTAAGAGATGTGGCGTAGGTCGAGTATAATTTCTTTTCTGTTTTCGGACATGTTAAGTAAAATTTCGAATAATATTTATTTATTTTATTTTTATTTATTTATTTATTTATTTATTTTAATTTTGTTTTTCTTTACAGATTGATTACTATGGAAGAGGAGCTGCGACGTGAACAATTGAAAATGTCTTTAGCTTTGTCTCACAAGCAACGTGTCATTGAGGAACAGGGTCAGCAAATAGCAGCTTTAGATGCTACCAATAGTCGTTTATTAAGTGCTTTAACGGCTTTACGGCAGCGTTATGAAACTCAACAACAGCAACAACAACAGCAACAGCAAAACCAAACGCAACAATAAATAAATAATTTTAACTCAAAATAATCTCGCTCCCCTTCCGCGGCCTCCTCCAATTTCCCAATCATGCTCCTTCCTTCTCTCTCTCTCTATTTATCTATCTCTCTGTTGCTCTCTCCTCAAATTCAGCAAAAGAGAAAATTTATTTAAAAATTTTTAAGATTGTATTTATGCTACAAAAAGAAAAACAAAAAAAACGTTAACTTTTAGAAGAAGAAGAGCAAGATTATTATATATCTACAAAAATAAGAGCAAAATAACACTCTTAAAGAGCTTAAAAAAATTATAATAAAAACAAAAATCCATAGATAATAACTAAAGAAAAAAGATCAAATAAAAACTACAGTGTGAAGAGCGGAGCACCCTTTTAAGCTTGTTTGTACAGTAAAGATGTTTAAAAAAACAAAAAAAACAAAAAAAACCTTTTTAAGAAGCTTTTTTTTGTACATTTCATATAAAATTCGTTTTTTCTTTTTCTTCCAATTTTATCTTTAAGTTAATTTTCTTTTGTAAAGTTACCGTTAAATATTTTCATAATTTATACTACTTTTTGTAATTTATTAATTTTTGTGTTTTTTGGTTTTTTTGGTTTTTTCTTTTTTTCATTTATCTAAAAGAGATTTCAGTAAAGCAATTACTTTCTAAAATTTTATATATGCTTAGATTTTTTGTTCATATCTTTATACCCTACATCTCTTGTGGTGTATAAAGTTTGTGCGGATGTATGCAATACTTAGAAAGACTTCGAGGTAGACCAAACGCTTATTATTCTGAAATTGATTCTGGATCAATTTAGTCATGTCAGTCCGAGATATTTTAATGAAATGTGGTATACTGATGTGTTTCAGCCTAGGGATGATCGCTGTCAAAAATGGTTTAGATCTGACCCCATTTTTCGATCATTTCCTATATAACGCCTCATTTTGAAACGTTATTACATGAATAACGGAGATTTGGGGTATTTTATGCTGAGTCCTGGCCCACTATAGTAGTTTTATTTGTTTTAAACATAAAAATGAGTTTTTTAAATATCTTATGTAATGCTATATCTACCTTGAATGGGTGAGAGAAATCAATCAATTTATTATGCTTAGAAACCATACATATAAATATACAGAAAGATATATAAATATATGTATATGTAGATTCTAGCAATCTTAATTGTTTCAAGTTTGTCCGTTTATGACGTCTTTCTGTTGATAGCTCTTTCAAAACAATAAAAATGAGATGAAGAGATAAACATATATTTTTACTTAACGTTGAAAATTGACGAGAATATTTTATAACTAAATTTAAAATAGTTAAAAGTTCAAAAGAAAGAAAAGCTTGGAAAATGTTTTATTTATATTTACATCAATAGGCAATGTCTGTCGTAATTTTTGCTCATAAAACTATTTGAAATGATAGATATTTAAGAGTTCATTTAGGGTCAATGTTGCTTAGTTTCCATAGTGCTTGTCCAGAAGTCATATCTTTAAAGGTTATTCCTTAAAATTTTAGTATGTTTGTCTTTCGTCCATTACTGAAAAGTTTATGCTCGCCACGGTCGAGATGGAAAGCTAAAATTTGAAAATATTATGAATCAGCAAAAAAGGATGAAAAACTGAAGTCTTACAGCCAGTCAGTCAGCCTATAATAAAATTTAAAAAAAAAAAACAAAAAATAAAAGCAACAACTAAAGAAAACTCATTATAAATATTTACCATGTCAGTACGGTGCTGATCGGTCAGTTGATACGCTCATTAAGCAAGCACTTTGCAATTCTTATATATTGGTTCAAGGTGGTGGGTACTTTTTCTATTTTTTTTATTTTTTTATTGAGATTTGTTCTATGTAGCCAGCATAGATTAGCTTCATTTTTTTTTTTGTTTTTAATTAAATTTTTTGTTTTGTTTTTTTTTTTTTTTTTTTTGAGATTTGAAAACATATTTTTATAGTAACATATGCAAAAAGTCTATTGCGTTTAAAATTTATTATATAAATTTTTTCAAAAAATTGCAAAAGAAAAATTTAAAATTTCTAAAATAGACATTAATAAGAATTGTTATAAATAAATCTTCGCAAATGGGAAGAAAATACTAATAATAAAAAAATTTTATATTAACATTCAATAAGTGAAAAACAAAAGTTTCAAAAATATTCCTTTAGACTCCTTGTCTTCAAATTTCGAAATCATTTAATTGAGCTTCTCTGTTATCTTAATTTATTTATTTTTTTATTTTCAAATTTTAATATAAAATAATGTATGTGCATTGCCAAAGTCGCGCTGTCCTCAAGGGGTTTGAGTATCAAAGTTAGAAAAATGAATGGAAAATATAAGCGTTACGTAATATATTAAGGGATTTCACTGCGTTCGAATGTATTTTAGCTAAAGTTGATACTGAATTGTAGAGCCTTTTTTTTTTTTTAGTCTGTTACGATTAAGATTTTAACTTAAATTTAAATTTAATTTCTTTTTTTTTTTAATTTTTTTTTAATTGTTTTTGTTTTCTAATATCATACATGAATATTTTACGTGTATTAATAAAATATTAGTAACCAAATATATATCAAAATATAAACATTTATATAAATTATTATTATTATTATTACTATTATTATTATTATTATTATTATTATTATTATTATGAGAACCACCTTTAGATCAAACAGTTTTAAAAATTTAAGCTACACTTACAACACCCAGGCATACAATCTTTATTAATCATTAAAATAATGCAAACACAAATTTTCGCTTTTCACCCAAACAAAAAAAAAAAAAAAAGAAACAAAAAAAAATTACTTTCTCAACAAATATACTAAAGAGTTATTAGTCGACACGATTTTATTTCAGTATAAACAATCACTTGCATAGAAAAACCAAAACAACATAAAATAAAAAAAAATATATATATATTAAAAAAAAAAAATCAAAAAAAATCTAAATAAAATATTAAAAATATTAATCAAACAAAAACGG